ATATTTCAGGTTTATTAGTAAGTCTTTCCCCAATCCTGATGCCACATTCTTCATATAATCCCACTTCTCGAATTATTTGCTCAGCATGCAGGCTGAATAAGTATGGTGAAAGAATACAACACTGGTGTACACCTTTCCTGAATTTAATCCATTCAGTGTCTCCTTGTTTTGTTCAAACGACTCCCTCTTGGTCTATGTACAGTTTTCCTCATGAGCACAATTAAGTGTTGTGGAATGCCCATGCATCACAATGTTATCTGTAGGTCATCATGATTCAGTCAGTTGAAAACCTTTGCATTGTCAATAAAACACAAATAAACATCTTTCTTGTAGTCCCTACTTTCAATCAAGATCCATTTGACATCAGCGATTATATCCCTAGTTCCACAACCTCTTTTGTATCTGACTTGAATTTCCGGTTGTTCCCTGTTGATGTATTGCTGCAATTGTCTTTTAATGATCTTCAGCAAAAGTTTATTTGCATGTGATATTAATGATATTGTATGATTTAACATACAATAGGTGGGTTACCTTTCTAGGGAATGGCACAAATTTGGATCTCTTCCAATCAGTTGGCCAGATAACTGTCTTCCAAATTTCTTGACATAGACAAGTAAGTGCATCACTTTGTTGAAACGTTTCACTTGTATTCTGTCAGTTTCTGGAGCCTGGTGTTTTGCCAATGCTTTCGGTGCACCTTGAACTTCTTTGTTTAGTACCATTGGGTCTTGATCATATGCTACTGCTTGAAATGTTTGAACATTGACCATTTCTTTTTGGTAGACTGACTCTGTATACCTTCTACCTTCTTTTAATGCTTTCTAGACCATTCAGTATTTTGTCCATGGAATCCTTCAATATTGCAAGTGAAGGCTTGAGTTTTTCTTCATTTCTTTCAGCTTGAGAAATGCTGAGCTTTTGGCTTTCTAATTTCAGGTCTTTGCATGTTTCATTATAATACTTTGTCTTTTCGAGTTGCCCTTTGAAAATTTCTGTTCAGCTCTTTTAGCTCCTCATTTCTTCCATTTGCTCTAACATCTGAAGAGCAAGTTTCAGAGTCTTCTGACATTTATTTTCGACTTTTCTTCCTTAATGACTTTTGCTTTCTTTCTGTATGTTGGTCTTGATATCATTACACAGCTCTTCTGCTCTTTGGGCATTAGTGTTCAATGCATCATGTTTGTTCTTGAGAGATGATCTCTGAATTCAAGTGGAATATGTTCAAGGTCATATTTTGGCTCTTGTGAACTTTAATTTTCTTAATATGCAGTGTGAACTTGCAATTGATGGTCTGTTCCACAGTCTGCCACAGCCTTGTTTTCGCTAGTTATATGGAGCTTTTCCAGCATGTCTTCCTACAGATGTAGTCAGTTTGATTTCTGTGTATTCCATCTGATAAGATTATGTGTGTAGTCATTTTTTATGTTGATAAGCAGTAGGTGCTCAGTAATTATTTTTGAGTGAATTAGATTTTCTAAATAACTTTGTTTCACTTTTGGATTTTGTATTCTAATAATTTTTTTCTCTCTTAATTAGTATGAAAAATAAATGGATTTTGTAGTTGAAAATTGTTGTATATTAGCCTAATGGTTCACTCTAGTAGTCATCTGCTCCCACCTCTCCTGTTCCTTTTCTTATTTTTGCAGCTACTTTGTAGTCCTATTTGTGACCGTTTTTCCAACCATTCATTTTTCTCCCCTTGCCCATTCTACTTTTTGCCTTATAGCCTGTCACCTTTCCATGTTCTCTGCTCCACCTCTATATTTCTGATAATCTGAAATGTGTACTGATTTGCTGTATATGTGAACATATAATAAAATTGTTTTGCCACGTTTAACTTTTTTTAGTTGAGTTTTTGTATTTCTGATTCTTGCCTCACCCGAATGCACATTTCTTAAAGAGAGGAAGCTAAGCTGAATTGTATGAGTGGGAAAAATTGTTATATTTTTCTTTTACTTCATTCTTAACAACTATCCAAACCAGAAATCGATAGAAGATATGATTTTAAGAGTATTAATACCAGGACTAGGTTTTTGGGGTCAATGCATTTATCATATATTAAAGAATATCTTGACCGCCTTTTCCTTTTTTGATTTAATATACATTTTTTTTACAACAAAGGCAAAAATCTTAATTCCTTTATTATAAGATCTCTAACTAGAATCTTTGCCCTTGGTTTTATTTTTGTGGTTGGACCACTATGGGTAAGAATATCATTTTCCTGGTTGCGCAGGAATCATAGCTTAGGGGAGAGATAAGTTATCCTTGGGATGTCATTACACTCCATCTTATCTTGTCTGGAGTCTCTAGGTGATGCAAGTGGGTAATGTTCTTAGCTTCTAACTGAAGGATTGGAGATTTGAGTCCACCTTGATGTTCTTGGAGTCCTGTTGTGGCATTGTAGGGCTAAGCACTGAATTGCTAACCACAGGTTTGCTGTGATTTGGAACTAATGGTTGATGGTATTTAACAGCAGAGGTGCCTTGAAGGAAAGACCTGACCATTTACTTTATAAAATACAACCATTGAAAACCCTTTGGGATCACCATTAGTCAAAATTGAATTGAGGGTAGCTAGTTAACTTCTGTCTGCTAACTCTAGAACCTTTATTAGTTTTTAACAACAACATATCGCTTTACTTTTCAGTCCTCTCTCAGTCCCTTAATTGTATTCTTAAGTACCTTTATCTTGCTTCCAACTATAACTAAATTTCTTGGAAGAACAGTCTTCAGGACCTTTACTGCCTCTGTCTCTGCTCCTTAATTTTTTTAGTTCCTGTCTTCTATTTTGCTTTCTAGTACTTTCTTGATAGTTTTCTCTCAAAAAAAATATTCGCTTGTTGCCAAATTTCACTGGCGTTTTCATGGTGCTTAATATCTTTGGCTTCGCAAGTTTCCATTCAGGGTTTCTGCATCTTTAGTCTTTGAGTTAATGTATTCCTTGTTCTTCTCCCACCTCTGGTTGACTACATAGTTCTTCCTGAGTCTTAAGAGTCCAGCATTTACTCAAGAGCCTCCTGACTCTCTTATTTCTACTCTCTGCTTTTCTCTTGGCAATATCATAGCTTCAGTTTAGTTTTTTAGTTTAGTAGTCTTATGTGATGCTATAGGATAAGCACTCAAATGCAAGGTCGGTAGTTCAAACTCACCAGTCTATTCTTGGAAACCCTATACAGGATCGCTATGAGGCGGAACCAACTTGAAGGCACTTAACAATAACAACAACAGGATAGGGAGCTGCAACAGAATAGGGAGCAACAACATGATAGCAGCTCCCAAATCTCTATTTCCAGCTATTTTCTACACCCACATTATAGTCATCCTCTTTCAGGTTTCTGGCAGACACTCGTGTGTGTATTATTGGTAATTAAAATTCATTTTATCCAAAAGAACATGAACTTTCAGTTTTTGCATTCTTAAATTTTGTTAATGGATTTAACATTCTAGTCACTAGCATAGTGGTTTCGAATCAGGCTGCTAATCTCACGGTCAGAAGTTCGAAACTACCAGCTGTTCAATGGGAGAAAGATGAGGCTTTCTGCTCCTGTATAGATTTACAGCCTTGGAAACCCTGTAGAGGGTCGCTATGAGTCGGAACCAACTCCATGGCACACAACAACAAGTAGTCACCCTAACTTGAAACCTTAGAGGCCACTTGTTAAGTCTGTAGAGCGGGTTCATGGCGACTTTGCATAGGGTTTATAGGAACAGTTGGTGGGTCCATTGCTTATCTTGCCACACCACGCCAGCACTCCTAGAGACCACTAAGCACATTGTTTTTTGGGGGATTCTGTTTTTGATTTAATATCCATTATTTTGTACCAATTTTACCCTATATTTTCTTGTTTATGTACTATCTCATTGTTTCGTTTGCCAACATAGCTTCAGTTGTACATTATTTTATACCTGGTTTAATTAATTAATCCTGGCTTGCCTATTCTCTAGACTCCTGTCTGTGACTATACGTAACTCATCTGTATGAAGCACAGCTCTCATAATTTTATTTGTATTTCAGTAAAATTTATTCATTTCTTTTTTCTTATAGAATGAAATGTTGGCTTTTAAGCTTAGCATTTAAGGTCTAGTTTATGATGATGGCCATGGTATTTTCAATAATCTCATATGCATGCAAAAGCTGGACAGTAAGGAATAAGGAAAACAGTAGAAGAATTGATGCTTTTGAGTTATGGTTTTGGAGGTGAATATTGAAAGTGCCATGGGCTGCCAAAAGAACCAACAGATCTGTGTTGGAAGAAATGCATCCAGAGTGCTCCTTGGAGGCCAGGATGGCCAAACTTTGTCTCTCATATTTCAGACATATTGTCAGGAGGGACCAGTCACTGGAGAAGGATATCATATTTGGTAGGGTGGAGGGTCAGAGAAAAAGAGGAAGACCCCAGCAATGGATTGGCACAGTGGCAGCATCAGTTGGCTCAAGCGTGGCAATGATAGTGAGATTGGCCCAGGATCAGGCAGTGTTTCATTCTGCTGTGCATAAGGTCGCTATGGGTTGGTACCGACTGATAGCACCTAACAACAACTATGATGATGGCAGTATGAATGGAAAGGATTGATAACAATCCAGGCTTGATGCTTGGTTCTATAGGGTTTGGGGATGATGCATAGCTATTATATTATAACATTATAGTAAAAGAACTCTGTTTTGAATCTGGATATTCATTCCAACAGTATTACAGATTATATCTGTATCCTTGTAGCGCTAGTCTTATATTATTTCCTTTTCCCTAAGGGATCCACATAACACTAATATTCTATAGGGGTTTAGGTTCATTCTTTTTTTCTCTTGTTTTTATTTCTTATTTATGTTCTCTAAATATTTGTTGTATTCTTTTGTTCCTGGCTATTCTGTGCCACCCATATAGGCTTCCTCTTTAGAGGAATACTTGGCCAAATGCAATAAAAAACAAACACTAATTGTTGTAAATATTAGTTCGATTTTAATAATTGTTTTGGCTTACAAATTTGCTGAATCCTTTTTAGGAAGGACCATTAAGACCTGTTCTTGAATACATTGACCTGGTCAGCAGTGATGACGAAGAACCTAGCACCTCCCATAGTGATGTAAGTACATTACATTTGCTTAGCATTTCTTTCTTTATAACGTTTAAAAGGCATGCTCTAGAGTTACCAGGTCAGTGATGGCTGTGTTTGGGAGCTGTATAGTGTTTTAGACAATGCCCTGTTTGTGCTAGAATAGTAGTTCAAGGAAGGAATTCTTTGCCCAGAACAACTCCTACTTCCAGTTTTGTTTACTCTACTTCACTGAGGATGTGAAAGGATAAAATGAAACAGGGATGTTCTAAGCCCTGGATGTAATATAAGATAAAGAGGAAATGAACTAAAACTGCAAGCTTTTTGGTTCCTCTTGCCCTCCTTTCCTTTCCTTTTCCTCAGGTGCTCTACAGAACCCAGTCCTATACTTCCAGAAACACATGGCTACAGAAAATTTGTTTTTTCTTGGAAGGATATGTGGAAAGCCTTTAGAAAATAGAAAGTGGAGGAAGCATTTACAAGTGATTAATTCAGTCATCACACCTTCTAATTCTCTCTATTCCCCATGTTTGGGGTTATTCCTTACCTGTGACTTATTGGTCATGGGTTTATCTCCTGAATCCAATGCTTCTTTTACTATGAGAATCAAACTAGCTCATCCCTTTATAGCAGTCTTGTGTTTCCATTTGTCTTTTTGCCTTTTCCCAGGCTTCTGTTAATGAACTGTTTTCTTCATGGATTAGAGTACACCTTGCTCTTGTCCAAGGTGTCCAAAAAGCTTCTTCTTCTGTGATATAAGGGACTGAGGCTTGGATTTGCATCTAGAATTACCTGGGTTTGAGTTCCAGCTTTACTGTTTATTAGTTCTGTGACTTTGGATAAATCTTTAACTTCCATTTCTTTATCAAATGAGAATAATGCCTACCTCACAGGGTTGTTGTGAGGATAAAATGAGATGAGTATGTTAACCTGTGAACTACTAACCATGAAGTAGAACTATTGTTATTCATGGACAGTGATTGGCAGGGCATTTTTAAAGGGGCATTAAAATGACTCTGCAGTGGGGGTGGTATTGAAATTTTTTTCTCTCTGTGGATGTTTTTTCATGTTCTCTCTGCCATCATTAACTTCTACTTGCTGATCTATATTTGTTGTATGGGATTTTTTTCTTGTTATTACCAGTGATTTCACTGTATCTTATCTCAGTGTGGGACGAAACGGCAGGCCAGGGTGGTACCATTTGAATTGGGCATGTTTTCACTCTTCCCTTATTCATGGACAGAGTCCCAAATTAATGCCAGCAGTTGGTATTAGGACCATTGGGGTATTGAAGATTGTGTTTGATTTCTGTGGTCATCCTGCTGACCTTTATAGTGAATTATCTCTTTCATTATTAATTATAATTATTTTTTAAAAATTGAAATTCTGCTTACTGGACATCTCTCCACTTGAAAGTTAATATATTAAAAGCATATTTTTTTTCTTCCTTGGTTTTCTTGTTCATGTGGATAACCCAGAGAATGCCTGAATCTAAGGTGCCATCCTCTGAGAACCATCGCCCAGAAATGTGCTCTAGCTGCAGTGTTCCTCTTTCCATTGGAGACCGCAGCTTCTCCTCTGGGAGTTGCTCCATCAGTCCACAAAGGATAGTTTCTCAACCTTCCTCTGTTGAGAACCCATTGGAGAACCAGAAAAATGATCAAAATTATTCAGATACTAAGATCTCTGAGACAGAGGCATCTAACCCATCAAAAAATATTCAGACTATGCCTTCATGTCCACTTCTGGTCTGTCAAGAGTCTTTGTCTTCTTTGGAAATCAAGAAGGATTTACTTAGAGAGTCTTCTTCAAATTCACAGCATGGACAGGATGCCATCCTCTACCTCCAAACACAAGTGGCTGAGATGTCCCGAGTGATACGTGATCTACAGTCCAGGAGCTGTTTTAGATTTCATCATTGTAGGCCAAGTGAGAACTCCTCTATTTCTTGGGACATCTCCAACTCTAAGGAGGAAAATTTATCCACAGTTGATGAAGAGACTGACTGCAAATCCTCCTCCACTGGTAACAAAGGGCAGCCCTCTGACTCCAACCAATCAAGTTTCACAGGTCTTTTGAAGAGAATGGAACAAAGAGGTGTTATAAAGAGAGTGTCATTACAACCTGAAGTAGAATCATGTGATGGGAAATCTGATTGTGTCACCACCAAGAAACGGTTGGTTCCTCCATTGCATCCTCTTCTGAGAATTGCAACCACTGAGGTTTTTAAAGACCCTGCTGATTGCCATCCTTCTTCCTTCATGGGACACAGGGTGTATCCTGTGGCTAAGGACACCTCTCCTTTCCAACCAAATCCACCAGCTGAGGGTCCCATTGTAGAAGCACTAGAACACAGCAAAAGAGGAAACACAACATCCCCTCTAGATTCTACCTCAAAAGAAATGGAGATCATGGGTTGTAGGTTTTACCACGCTGCTTCTATTGCAGCCCGAGCTGCTAGCTACATGGCTTACATGACTCAATATCAGCGTAAACTTTGGGAAGACATGGAGGATCTGGTCCATGACCCAGAGTTCGACCGAGGGAAAGCAAGATGTATAATATCTGATGGCATGGATGCAGGTCTTTGGCAGCTTTGTACTACTAGAGACATAATGGACTCTGTAGTTAGAGTTATGGCCATGGCAATAGACTACAGACGGCAAGCTTGGCTCCGACTTACATCTCTAACTAAGAAAACTCAAGAGAAAATCTCACACTTGCCTTTTGATGGTACTTCCCTTTTTGGACAACATGTGAATGCTGCTATTGCTGAAGAAAATAGTATTAAAGAAAATGACTATAAAGATCACAACAAATATTCCAACCAACATCGATACTTTTATAGTCATGATCAGAAAACACATTATCACAATAGAGGATACTCCAAAGGAGATTGGTACAAATCCCGAAATCACCCTTATAGATATAGAAAAAAAGGAGAATCCCCAGAACGCCATGGGTACAAGAATTAATCTTTTGTTCAGAAGAACAGCTATCCAAGATCCTAACTATTTCACTTACTCTTTCCCACTAGAAGAGGATCTGTAAGTAGGAGGTCATCTCAAAAGTTGAATTCATATCTGGAATAACCATAGCTGATGTGCAAATTCTAGACGTTTGAAATGTAATATATAATAAAGAGACTCATGTTTTCTTGATAAAGTGAGCGTTGGAGACTTTCGTCTGAAGAGGGTTGAACAGAGGTCTTCTTGTCCATTATTTCTGGTCCAAAATAAATTCAGAAGAGGGTACTTGGGAATCTGAATTGTCTTGTAATATAAAATATCTATAGATTTGTTCCTCAGGAAATCCTGTTGGTAAACTGAGGGCTATTAGATTTTGAAGGTGAAAAAAGCCTACTATTGGTTTCTCTTTACTAAGACAAGATGCAAATTCTTCATATTTAGATCATCAGTACTTCCTTGTGTGGGCTTCCATTTGATAGGTTTTTGCAAAAGATTTGTCAAAATCTTTTTACATTAGGATTACCAACTCAACAAGAGTCCATTCTACTCTCAAGCTCTGTGAGACTTTAGAATGAACCATGAAGCTGTATATCAAGAATTAAAATTCAGATAAATAAAATTTTGCCAAATCCAGTTTATTTCAGTATAATAGATAGATATCACAGGTTTAATATGGATACCAGCGGGAAAAAGATTGTTCTGCATATAACATCTCTGCAGAAATTTTCAGAGTTAATTACCATCAGTGCTATTAACCATCCCTACTCATCAAGCTACATGTGAGAGAATTCTTTGTTGTTATCAGTCTGAATGGTCTTTGACCTATCAAGCTCTGAGACCCAGTCCTGGTGATTTCTCCCTATATTCTGGGACTTTGACTAAGCTGGCCTTTGTAAACAAATCTACTTTCTAAACAATGAACTCTTTTAAGTTTGATAATTGACCACACTATTAACTCCAAAAAAAAAAAAAAAAAAGAGATAGTACATTATATGCCTGGAAATAATTTTATTCACATATGCTAGGCATGCAAATGTGAACTCTTAAATCAGAGCAAGAATCCCAGACATACCAGACAGTCTGGTCCCTTTATTATGACAGAGGGATTTCTCTCTGGGGTGCTGAGCAGTCTTTATGACCTAGAGCATTGGGGTATAATAAAGAGAGGAAGTCACACAGTTCTGGTTTGGATATATGTTTTAATGGTGATAGCCATGGTGTCTTAAAAGGTTGAACTCAAGAACTTCAGTGACAAGTTCATTATTTCCATATTCTAGTCAGTCTTACAGTGAGAGACAAATTTTGTCTGTACTGGTCGCAATGTTCATTCTCCACTGTACTGGAATTGGCAGCAGATAACCTCCACTCATATCCCACAGTGTCTTCTCTTTAAGACAACAGCTCTTAGATCCTTGTTTTCACATCATCACTTAAGGAATGGAAAGAGTGACAAGTTTGAGGAGTCTAAATGCATTACCTAATAATTGCTTGACGGCCAAAAATGTGTCGACTTAAAATTTTGTAACTTCTTGGTTTGTCAAACATCTACATTTTTTCATGATGAAAACGTCTAAGGTATATTAATAGTGGAATATAGCACTGTTTTAGGGTTCATGTGCTTTCTGTTTCTTTTTGCCGTAGTCCCTGCACAGATGTTTGATATTTTTCCTGGTAACCCACTTTTTAATATTTACATTGGAAGCTAATTCCCCTTCTCAATGATATCTGTATTTGGCACCTTTTTTTTTTTTTTTTTGCTTCAACAGCAGGCAGCTTTATTGAGAGTAAACCTGGGAGCAGGTACTCTTTTAAGTCACCAAAGGAGATCAAGAGCCTTTGGCACCTTTTTTGTCTAATTTTCTTTGTCTCCCTATTTGCACTATAGAGTTTGAAGACTCAGTTTTTGCTACTTGGAAGAAATTATAATTTTTTAGTGTGTATGTGTGTCAGTTTTCCTATTTGTAGATTAAATCTGAACTACAGCCCTGCAGTAGTGCTGTGGGTTAATGTGCTGGACTGCAAGGTCGATTTGAACCACCACAAGGTCGGCAGTTCAAACTCACACCAATCACTCCTTGGAAACCCTATACAAGGTCCCTGTGAGTTGAAACCGACTTAATGGCACTTAACAGTCTAGCTGGAGATTGTCTCGCATCTAGCTAAGTTCCTACTTTTCCATCTCTTCCCTTTGTCTCAGTTATATAGTAGATCAAAAACTTGATAATTTGAGACATCCTTATTTCCCAAAAAGCAAACCAAAATAAATGATGATTGAAGATTGGTTCACTGAAACTGCTTTGGCACTTCCACTTACTTTGATTCTTTCTTAAATATTTGAAAGAGAGCATGACTCTTGTCATTGCCTCTTTTGGTATTTATGTTGCAAAGTAATAAAATGATAAATGTACTATCATTCTCATGTGCCCAAGCATCTCCAGAGAATTTATTTTCTTGAAAGTGAAGTTTTGGGAAATCATTGAATTCATGATCAAGCTGGCAAATTTCTGAAGGGTTTGACAGTTTAGTAGAGATGGGGACAGAATGCATTGGAGTATGAACACTTTTTAGCTATATGTAGAAAGAAACAATATCCTAACCTCATTTTTATTAAAAATATTTTCTCTTGGTTGATGATGTTATAAAACTAAAAATGGGGACTTAGTCTAGGGAGACAACCCCAATAGACCAGGGTATGGAACAACTAATTATTAGACAATATTAAATGTTCATAGTGTACCTGCAGAGCCTGCGACGCAATTCTCTGTTAAGTCAACCTCTGATATTCACATACCTCTGGGTTCTCTAGGAGGCCTTGGCATAGTCACTAGTTTATGGATATGATTTTCTCAAAGGGTACATCTAATGATCCTTTTCCTTCAAAGGTTATTTCTTTACTGATAATATATATATGGAGACAATATGATTTCTTGGAATTACTGTGTACAGAGAAATTCTGTTAACATTATTTATTATATGAAGTGCCTTTTTTATATTTCACACTTATGTTTAAAACATTTTGATGTCTTGCATATGTTGCTAATAGTATTTATGTTAATTCTGTATCGTGGTTTTAAGCATTTTTATTTTATTATCTTCATCTGTACAATTGCACTAACTGTACTCTTCTTCTGAATGTTACTTTGTTTTCCTTATAGCACTATTGTTCCATTTCAGAAGGTTAGAGAGTATGGTCCCTCTCCCCCTTAATTTAATTTCTTTGTTATATTTAGTCATAAGTGATTAGCCCACTTTTCTGAGCATTAAGACAGTTCTGTTCTTTTTTGTAATCTATACTAAGTTTTCTGATTGACTCATATCTAAATATGCTAATCATGGTAATACAACTTACATTTGATAAGGTGGATGTGTTTTCTGTACTTGATAAGAAGCAAGAACATTAGGAAAAACAGTAAATTTACTGACACTTTATATATATACATAAAATTATGTAAAATATATATATATTTTTGAATGGTCTTATAGCTTCTTTATCAGTATCATTTAATTTAATCTTTACTGTGCTGGTAGCTTCTTTATCAGTATAATTTTATTTACTTTCTTGGCCCTCAAAATGGCATTTTGAGGAGAACATGAACTCTTTCAGGCTATGTGGATACTATTTAATACACTACATTAGTACTATACATTAATAATTTACTAAATGATACCCAAGTGACCTGATTGATAATGTCCTTAAGAGCTTGATACATCCAGCATAACCTCTCAGGTACTGTAACCATGTAGTTGGAATAAACACAATCCAGAGTCTGTTCTAACTGTAAAATTGGGTGTGAATCTGGGTGTACATATTCATACCCAATTTAATAATCAGTTTTAGGACCAAGGTGTGCCTGACCCAAGCCATGGTATTTTCAGTAGCCTCATATGTATGTGAAAGTTGGACAGTGAATAAGGAAGATCGTAGAAGAATTGATACATTTGAGTTAGGATGTTGGAAAAGAATGTTAAAAGTATCATGGACTGCCAGAAGAACAAATAAATCTGTATTGGAAGAAGTACAGCCAGAATGCTCTGTAGAAACCAAGATGGCAAGACTTCGTCTTTCATACTTCGTACTTGTTATCAGGAGGGACCAGTCCCTGGAGAAGGATATCATGCTTGGTAAAGTGGAGAGTCAGCAAAAAAGAGGAAGACCTCCAAGGAGCTGGATTGGCACAGTGGCAGGAACAGTTAGCTCAAATGTAACAATTGTGAGAATGGTGCAGGACTGGACAGTGTTTCATTCTGTTATGAGTTGCACCTGGGTGACCAGAGAGGCAAATGGCATTCATTATTAGTTAGTTGATTTGGGGATTCTGATGAAGGTTTAAATTAAAGATTATTTGTAGAGATAATTTAAAGATTGCAATGACTGAAAACTTTTTTTCTTTTAAGTATGAAGCATATTTTGCTCCAGACTTGTATTGTATAGGTTCCCTTGTCTTTTGAAATTCACCATTCTGTATTTAGGATAGCAGCTAGACCCAACAGTTGGTTGTCACATTTGTATGAATCTTAAACATGTCATTCAGTTAGCTAGATCCATTTTTATGGCTTTTCATTAGTGGGATGTACAAACCAATTTTAGTTTCTCTCTTTTCACTTAAGAAAATATACAACTAGATGTTATTAGTAAATTGATAATCATGATCCAATTAAAATCTTTAAATTATTTTTTTAAGGCTTAACAAGTTTTATAAACTGCTAGAATCTTTTATGAAATTTGTTTCTGGATGAGTGGAGCAAACATTAAATATTTTTTTCTTTTATTAGCAGAGATGATGTTTCATTGCCTTTTTCCTTAGCTTGACTATAGTAATGAAAACTTTGAATCATGATGGTTGAGATGTTACGCAAATTTTGCTTGGTTCCTGTGACTTAGGTCTAGATATAGTCATAGTCCATCTGGTCCTATTTTGATCCTCCCTTTTTATAAGATAACCACTTCTTGATTAAGGAGCTCTGGTAGCGTAGTGGTTGTAAATTGGGATGCAAACCGCAAGGTC